TTTCCGTTATGACGGTTCAGGTCCGTCACCGGTCCTCAAGGGGATTGTTCCGATGACGGTCGTGACAAGGTTAATTATGCATTTTTCATTAGAGATATATCTAAAAACAGCTTACAAATGATGCAGATCTCTTTTCTGAAGCCTTTGCAAGCCCTCCCCTCCAAACCAGCCCAGACGGTCTGTTGCTCATCAATCACAGACTTCCTAATACAGTTCAATAACAAGCATTTGCAAGGCAGGTGTTCTGTGCAATTGGGTTTAGCCCCACTGAGCTCAACAAACATGGAAGTAACAAGAGCAATTGTCTGATTCAAAGATGGGTATGTAACAATTTATAATCTGCACTTTCTGCACGTTTTGTAAAATGAATGTGGCAGACCACCAGTATATCGCCGCCACGGACTCTCTTTCCCAGTGTGAAGTAGTTCTATCAAGTAGTGAAGGTGAATATAACTTGTATAACTTTCCCCCCATACATTAGTCAAGATTGAATGCTGGGAGTAGATCCGTTTATTTCAGGCAAGCACTCTTAATTTATACACAGATCTCCATGCAGAAATACAGCAAGCTCCTCCCTGTGCCTGAGAGATAATTGAGTCAGGATACTATAACTCAATTATCTCTCTGTGACAGAAAAAACATAACAAATCATACAACACCCCAAAAGTACCCCAAAAATACATGTGAACCCCACAAGAGTCACATCCCTGGATAGCCCTGATCTGAATACCAAAGTTGACCAAAACGTGTGCAGATCGGTTCGGTGGTATGGAATCGAAACTGGGGTAAAGTTTTGACCGGCCAGCCACGAGGTAGAAGCCCAAAATAGTTCCAGGGAAATGGTGGAAATGGCCAGTCTCTGTTCGAGGGTTCCAGGAAGAAAATCACATGATATAGTCGAATGCTTTCAAGTAGCGAATGCTCCCCCCATTCAGTAGTTCCTATCTCCTGAACGCCGTTCATATAGCTGGCCGGAAACTTTGACGGGCAGTTGCTCCATCTTCACCGATGTTTGCGTGAGTGCCTAGTCAAAAGGAGTTCCAGGCACTCGACGACCATGTCCGGCTGCCTGCGTTCAGGAGACAAAATGGCCACCATCCATTCTGTCGAACACGTGCGTTTGGTTGCACAAAATGGTAGCCACCCAAGGAAGGATTTATTAATTGCTTCCTTTGCAGTTTCGCGCTTGATGATAGGTGTTCCACTTTCTAATGGGGTGCTGGTGTGGTCCTTGTTAGGTTGCCAAACTAAGGAATTTGAACGAAAATTCGAACAGGGAATGGTGCTGATATACAAGTGATTGGTTATTCCTTCACAATAAAACAGAGAATACACTTTTTTTTACACATACAGCTTTTCAGCATGCCAAAGTGCTTTAGAGTTCTGAAATGTCCCTTTAAGCAACATTATACATTCTGAAAGTTTGTGCACATTACATGAATACTGATACTGAAAGAAAACTTGTATAAGAACAATATCATATGTATAGATATGGGTAGAGGGCTTTTCTGTTATGAGCTTACATTCTAATAATAGACAAGCAGAAAACATTTTTATCTGGGATTGTAATTACAATTTAGTACTTGTACACTGTTCTGGGCTCAACATTTTCTGTTATAGCTTATAGATGAATTTATATTGCTATATATATATCACTTAAAAATGACCCTGTGTTAGCATTGCTTATCATTCTGATTGATTACTTTATTTGTCTAGATGCAATTACCTGTGAAAAATGTATCCATTATATTTATATCTGAAAACATTTTAATGTAATCTAGGGAGAAATTTGCAGATAAAATAAGGGCTAAATGGATCACAGATAATCAAATATATCTCTACCTACTAAAATACAATACAGGGCACAGCTTGCCAAAGAAGGTGACTTCACACATCGACTTAGCAGTCTAATCTGAGTAAAGTATTGAATGATTATTTAAAAAAAAGCTTGACTGCATGTATGCCTGTAATGAAAATAGTTTATCTTTTGTGGTTTCGTTTTATCTTGCATAATCCTTCCAATGTATGCAAGGCATCCCTAGAGCAGCGTAGTAATGCACTAATAATCAGCAAACCAATAGGTAGAGGATATGTAAGGGGATTGAGTTAGGTTAACAGATGAGTCCAGGTCAGGAGGGACTACTTGTAATTCTAATCTGCCATCTGCAACATAGATATCTCTAAAAAAAAACAAAAAAACAGTACTTGCAGCTGAATAACATAAATCTAGAGGTAGAGCTGCTCGCGTAAAGGACATACAGACATAAGCTTGTGTTTAGTTTACTAGGTTGCATTACATTGCAAAATGTCACTTCCGCAGCACTTCCTGGTCATAGATTCTTGGAGGAAAAAAACGCATACGCTCACGTTAGCCTAAAACAGTACATTTCTTTGGCCCAAAGGCAGGGGCAGGCTGGGATGGGGGGCAGGGAGGCAATTGCCCCCCAAGCTGCTCTAAATCATTTTAAAAACGTCCACCTGCAGGTGTCTCTCTAACTAAGTGGTTTAGTTGGCTGTCTAAGGCCCCGGGGCCACTTAAACCGCCTTATGGCAGACTGTGTTGGGTCCTCAGTCAGTGACGAGGACCCTGTGGCAAACCTAGCCACTTGGACTAAAACAGAGACAATATGGTTTTAAGGGTTGCCTGTATATTTATTATGATTGTATATGTGCCTGGTTGTAATCTGCTGGATCCTGCATGTGGTATTGACTGTGTTAGCTATTTGCCGAAAGCAGATAGCCGTGTTCTATTCCGTTTCACGAACAGCGCCCTTGCGGGCTGTTCGTGAACCGAATGAACACTCTAGTAATAGCCCACACACTTAGAGAAGTGTGGCGCTTGTTAACCGATTGCAACAATGTTGCAATCGGCAGTTAGAGACTCTCCAAGGTGGCCGTCGTTCGACTACCGACCACGCGGCGGTCGGCCATCTTGGATCCTTTGTCTCTTCAGCGGTGTTCGGTCGTCGAGCGCGTGGTACTGAAACCGGCTACTCGACGGCGCGAAGACCGCTGGGCTTCCAGGCCGTTCGGGAGCTCTGGGCTTTTCGGTATTTTACTTCCCGTATAGCAATCGGTCTTTTAAGTGGGTGTTACAATTAATATGTTTCATGCGGCGTTCGGCTGTTTTAGCTGGGATCTGAGCGGTAATCTCACGAACTGTGCGCTCAGACCCCAGCTATCTGCCGAACGTCCAATTGTATAAATTCACTGAATACAATGCCAGTTATGTATTTTAATGTGAATTGCCGGTTCTGCTGCACGGAGGGATAATCCACTTAACGGTATATTCCAGTGGGAGTATCCCTCTCGTGCAGCAGTGCCTGATGGGAGAAATGCCCACAATGTTAAGTCCCCCATGTAGTCCCCTACTGTATTACCCCTGCAATGTCAGTAGGGAAACCCCTTGCATGGGGACTTGCATAAATACTGGAGCAGTGAATAAAGACCTCAGTTGACTCCCAGAACTGTGTTTCGCCCGGTTACTGGGGGATTTGGGATATTGCCTTGCTTTTCAGCGCTTGACTGTGGATTACTTTCTATACCAGTGGAATTCGTGGGATTTAATATTGCCGATCCGCTACAGACCCGACACCAGGAGGGGGCCTTGCAGCTTGCTGAGTCTGCCGCTGGTGTGAGGCCACTCCAGGCTGCCCTGCCTGACCGGAGAGTGCCCTTGCTGCTGGTCTGCAGCTCTGCAGTGTGCAGAGCTACAGACCATGTGTTTCATGAAATCTGGCCAATCTGACCGGGTCTCGCGAGACACACTGTGGAGCTGCAGACCGGATATCACCACCGGACCACAAGGGAGCTCACGCTGTACCACCAGGGAATGACAAAAGGTATTTGGTCCCCCTTCCTTCACACCAGCACCCCCCTCCTTTACCCCATAACTCCCCCTCACCACCATTCCCCCTCCCTCTCACCATCACCCCCCTCCCTCTCACCATCACCCTCCACTCCCTCACACCATCACCCCCTCCCTCACACCAACACCCCTTTACACCATCACCCCCTCCCTCTCACCATCACCCCCTCCCTCTCACCATCTCCACCCTCCCTTTCACCATCTCCACCCTCCCTCTCACCATCATCCCCTCCCTCTCACCATCACCCCCACATAAACCACATTGTACCATATGTGTCTTGCTTCATAACATCCATATCTGTTATAAAACCAGAAAAAGGTGGGCATGGATGGTGAACTGATTCGGTGGTGCAATTGGCCACTTGACTTGATTTGCCACCCAGGCCTAAGAGCTTCCTCTTTCACAGAGGTCACAGTCTCCTCAACTGATATTGGGATACTTTTGGGTCACTTTTCACAGAGGTCACAGTCTCCTCAACTGATTGATAATTTTGGGTTACTTTTGCAGAGGTCACTCGCTCATCAAATTGATATTTGTTACTGAGCTTCCTCTCTCGTGGAGGTCACGCACACATCAAATGATTTTTGGGACTTACCTTCTTCTTTCACAGGGGACACGTGCTCATAAACTTGGTATTTGTTTACTGAGATTCCTCTTTCATAGAGGACACGTGCTCATCAAATTAGTATTTCTTGCTGAGCTTCATCTTTCACAGAGGATACGTGCTCATCAATTTGGGATTAGTTTCTGGGCATCCTCTATCACAGAAGTCACAAGCTCACTAAGTTGGTATTTGGTTGCTGCACTTCCACTAACACAGAGGTCACATGGGCACCAATAACTGGTACTTAATCAGTGACCTTAAACTTATTACAAAGATTGCAAATTCATCAACTTGGAGTAGTTGCTTAATTGTAATCATTACTGAGCTTTCCCTGTCACACAGGAAACACCCTCACTGGATGCATTACAAATTACTTTTTCAATTGACAATTGTGTTCTTTCGCTTCTCTTTTTTTGTTTGTTTCATCTACATATCTCATTGCATTGTTCATATTTAGTGATGTCCCGAACGGTTCGCCGTGGACGTCGAACATATGCGGTAAACTTTGACCCTGTACCTCACAGTCAGCAGACACATTCCAGCCAATCAGCAGCAGACCCTCCCTCCCAGACCCTCCCACCTCCTGGACAGCATCCATTTTGTGAAGCTGCATTCTTAGTGAGCTGTCCAGGAGGTGGGAGGGTCTGGGAGGGAGGGTCTGCTGCTGATTGGCTGGAATGTGTCTGCTGACTGTGAGGTACAGGGTCAAAGTTTACCGCATATGTTCGACGTCCGTGGCGAATCGTTCGGCGAACCGTTCGGGACATCACTATTCATATTTTATCTCACGTCCCTTTACGTTATTTATGTTTATTCCAGACACTTGGTTGCATGCCTGCAGACACAATATTCCTAGTTACATTTAAAGCCCATGGGTTGCTGGTAGTCAGCAGTTATGCCAGCTTTTTTTATTCACCTGTGCAAGTGACACACTACTCTTTCCAGCACCCTTATAATGTAAGCATGTTTAGGTGAGTGCAGTCAATAATATTCCAATAAATGGTAGCACTTACATGACTTTATTTCAGGATCATTATTAAGACCTTGACAAACATTACAGAAGCAGGTGTATTAGGGAAAATAATGCCATCTCTATACTACTGCTTGGTAGTATAACTTCCACTAATCTCTAAAAGTTTAAGGTTTCTAAAATGAAGTTATTCACTCACAATTACCCTTTAATATAGGTATACAATATGGTATGGGAAATAATTTCACCCCTTTTGTGCAGTACATGACTTGTGTGTGTGTGTGTGTGTATATATATATATATATATATACACATATATATTTCTTAAAAAATATGCACTCCCAGGTCTTTTACAAAAAAAATATATATTATTTTAATTCCAAATGTTTTAATTTGGATTAAACTAATATATTTCTTGTAAAAGTCCTGAGAGTGCATCTCTTTTCAAGTTATATATATTTTCCAACGTGGGATTGCACCAAGGCACAAAACTACACATAGGAGGAGAAAGGGTGAGTGCCAAGCTACTTATAGTTTGTATGTATGTATATTCATACATTTCATGCAGTAAGAGATTTTAATTAGGTGTGTATGTGTGTGTTAATTTGTTATGGGTCTTTACACTTAATTAATTTAATTAATTGCAAACATAATTGTAAATGTTATTTTATTCCACACAGCCAGGATAAAAATAAACAACAATCAACATTTCAGTGCACATTCAGAGACTTTTATTGAGACACCTTGATACATATAAATATAATACATATATACATATATTACAATTGTTAATAAAGATTAAATAATTTTTAATTCTATTTTTATATATCAAACATATACTGTAGAATTTTCTAGCTTTATAATTCTTATGGTAACCTTACGGAAATAATTACAATCAATATTGTAGAATGTGCTAACAAAATGCAGATAACATAAATTATTCACACAATAATCAATTCCTATATTAACTAGGAAAAATTCCAACTCACTAAAGACTCATTAAAATCAATAAAGCATTGATTTTTAATTTAATATTTTTTTGTTCTGTTAGTGTTATTTTTACTTCTGAGTGTGTAATTTAAGTTTGGAAAGGTGTAAATTAGAATGCTTAAAAGATTGAGTGAATTTTAATATTCTTAATGTTGAATATATCTAAACACTATTCATTTTAAATCAAGTGTTGAAGCTAAAGCATACATGTATATCACAATAAGGTGAAGGATACTCATGACATGATTTGTATTGGTACTAGTATATAGCATGTATATACCTTTCTCATTGCAATATATGTTTGATGTTTGTATGCAGTTTGTTTGAATTTGTCTATCTGCCTGGTCATGAATAAATAAAGAATTGTAAAACATAACAGATGTAACATGGCGTAACTGAAGTTGTTCACTAATTTTTTTATGTTTGCACATTTGAGTAAACAACAAATTCAAGCAAAATAACTATGTAATAATGTACTATGTCCTCATATTTTCTAGCTTTCTTATTTACTTATTAAGTAGCTGACTAATTTAGCATTTCTTTGGGAATGTAGTTCCACAGAGTTTTAGTCACAAATTAGAAAATAAGTTAGCCCTTAATAGGTGCCTTAAATACTAATTAAACTTATAAACACACATATGGGTTATTCACTAAAGTGAAAATTGGTATTGATATTGGTATTCAGAGTGAATGTCAAATTTAAAGCCAAAATGTCTGAACCGGAAGCATAGATGATTTGAAGAATTTTTTTTATCTTGAGCTATTTTTACCTTAAAATCTCTTCAAAATCCTGACCATCCCTACTTTATTGAATTACCCAGTTAAATGTTTAGTTGTTTAAAAAACTAAATACGATAAGGCACCCGCTTGGAGTGGATGGAAATGCAATTATTATACTCTACATAATGGGTGTCCAACCTTTAATTTATTAATTAATATAATAAAACTTCAAAGGCCATTTTCTTAATTTTTTTTTTTTATTAGATAACTCCTTTATTTCTTATCCCTATGTGGGATTGCCATATTTAAGCATACCAACTTAGGGAGCTATCTACTAATCACATACACATGTATATACATATGCGCACATAACCACACACACACATACAATCACAGACCTATACACACAATCACAAATATACACACACACAAAATCACAGACCCACACCCACACACAGACATATAATCATACATACACACAATCACAGACCAACAAATGCACATACAAACACAGACCTTTACACACAATCACAAATATACACAAATATACACACACAGACCTTTACACACATACATTCACAGACCTATACACCTATACACATGGTCACATACATACACATAATCACATATGTACACACACATACACACAATCACAGACCCACACACATACAATAACTTACATACACAATCACAGAACTATATACACAATCCTATACACACATCATACACACACACAATCACAGACCTATATGCACAATCACAAATATACGAACACACAATCACAGACCCACATACAAGCATACAATCACACAGTCACATGCATACACACACATAATCACATATGTATGCACACATACACACAATGACAGACTCACACACATACAATCACAGACCTATACACACAATCACATACACACACAATCACAGACCAACACACATGCATACATTCAGAGACCTATACACACAATCACATACAGAAATACACACACACACATATTCACAGATGTATACAAACAATCACAAACCCACACACACAGTCACAGACCTATACACACACAACACATGCATATACAAACACACAATACAAGACCCAAACATGCACATACAATCACAGACCTATACACACAGTTACACACATTCACACAGACACATAATCATAGATGTACACACACAGACATACACACACAATCATAAACCCACACACACATACCTATACACACAATCACAGATATAAACACACACAATCACAGACCTATATACACATAATCAAAGATGTACACACACAGAGATACACACACAATCACATACATAAACACAATCACAGACCCGCACAAATGTAACATCACAGAACTATACACACAATCACATACAGACACACACATTTAGATCAACACACACAATCACAGACACACACACACATCTATACACACAATAACATACATACAAACACACAATCACAGACACACACACAATCATTGACTTACACACAAACAATCACAGACATACAAACAGACTTCACCCTCCCACACACACAATCACTGACAAAACATACACTCAAATAACATACACACACATTTAGTACTAAAGAGGTCAACCCAGCCTCACTACCTTGCTCTGGGAGGGCTGGAATGGATCCTCTGCCCCTGGTGGCCAGTGGTTGCTGCTGGGCTGGAAGCTCTGTAGTATTTCTGCACAGGTCCCTCATGCGCCCAACAGTGATTCCGATGCTGGGATGACATCAAATTCTGGCGGCGGGCTCACTGCATGGCACACGAGGGTGCTGTTCAGGAGGAGCACAGAATGTAAAGGGGTCCCTCCGCCCCTCGCTGTCCGGCAGCATGCACAGCTACCAGGTCTCACGCAGCCTATAGGACGCCGGTTGGACACCCCTGCTTTACATCGTAGGTGGAGGTGAGAGTTTATATGCCAAGAGGTTTGCTCGTTCATCCAACCCCAAAGGTCTACAGAAAAGACTACAAAACTGTAAAAAAAAAATTTATATATGTGACAGGCACACTATTAGCCAGAGGTAATTAATCAACTATGTATTAACCTTCCTAGTCTGGATTTAAAGTGGAGATTTCATTCTTGTCACCAAAGTATAATTTAAAAAATAGCAATACATAAAAATTTAGCCATACAATGAGTCATGTACATAAAGCTGCAAAGGGCAAACGTTGCAGAAAGGTTTGAGTAGTAAATCAGTAGAGACAGTAGCAGATAATAGGGGAATTTTATCAATGAAGCATATCTCTGTTACTAAGAAGCAAGATAATGTAACATAAAAGAATTACATTTGCAAGATGTAAATGAAAGTGACATTAGGAAGTTGTAGCAGATAAACTGCAATACATTCTAGTACAGTACAATGATAATTTTGGACATTTTGTGATCAATCATACATATATTGCCTGTGAATATAAACAGAATTTAATGATAAAAGAATGGGCTGTGTAATTTAATGAGATGAGGCAGTAGACTCCTGCAATTAGAAAGGAATCTTAAAGCAGACTGACAGCAATTTACAACATGTCAAGTACAATACTGAAAAACTCAAGAATAAAACATGAAGCAATCTGACATAGAGATGTAACTATGAAGAAGGCATTCTAAAATATAACAGGTGGAATATGCTCCAAGGCTAGCATCAAGACCAAGGAGAAATCATGCTGTATCTTACTTTTCAAAGATATCTACATTTTAAATGCACCTTATAGTTTTTGAAATTACAAAAATGAATGTCTGCATTCTGCAATAAATGGGAATATATTTATTTTCTCATGTAGCTGAAAAATCATTTTTACTTTAAACTCCAAATCATTTTAATTAAGTTCCATATACATTCATAACTATTACTGTCTAAATTTTGCAAAGTTAATTTTAGTTTGCTACTGATTATAGTTTAATGAATACAATACTAACAAATTGTAAGTGAATTATAAATTATGGACCAAAATAGCCAAACTAAAAATATAGCTGATTCATTTACCATTTTGGCATTTCTGGC